GCCGATTGCTTCGCGCTCTCCGCGATCATGTCGTCGATCTTGTCGCGCGCCGGAAGCACCGACGAGATCAACAGGCGAGCCAATTTGGGCGAGTACTGCACGTGATTCTCGATGTCCATGAATCTGGCCAACGCGTCACTTCCGTCCGAGTCGTTGGACGCTCGCGCTCCTCGTCGTCTCGCGATCGTCGGTCGCTCGCGCTGTCGTTCTCGCGTCGTCAACTGTCGTCGCTGGTTCTGCTCGTTGTGCGCCATTCGTTGTCGGAGCTAATCGCATCGATCATTTTCTCACTACACGGCGCAACAAATCGGCACGGTCATCGACGGATCGACGTCGTGCCACAATCGGCGAAGCAGCGCGCAGCCGTGATGTTCCCTCAGCGAATCCAGAGCCAGCGCGATCGACTCGACGTTCTCACCGGTGACGGGGCTCGTTGGCGCCAGCAACGTCGTTAAAACGTGATCGCGGTCGTTGAGGTCACGCGTTTCACCGGTCGTTCGCGCGACGGCTCGCATCACCGGTCGACAGACGGCCAGACGAAACGACAGCGCGGACGCGCGATCGCCGCGACGCAACAGAGAGGTCGCCGCGAAGTCGCGATAGTCCAGACACAGATTCGCCAAAGTCCACTTGGACACTCCGGCGGCGGCGATCACGCTCGAAACTCCGTACAGTGAGGTCTCGTGCACAATGTTGTGTTAGCGCAACAGCACGATATCGATGGGCAGCTTGTGCATCACGATTGCCGAAAGCGCGCCGATGTGATAGAAGAACTCATCCCCGCGATTCCTTCGCCAGTGCGCGGAACACTCGGCGCACCATACGTAAAAAGATAAATTCTCGAGCAATGCGATCGCGCGATTTATGTAGCGATTTCGCCGTTGTATGGTGAGCGCCGTCAGAGTGTGCAGCAAGATCCAGAGAATCTAAGACGTGCCGCTCTGCCAGACTCCGCGCACGGACAGGATTATCCAGCGCACCGATTCGTCGTCGCCGCTGTCGACGCGTTCTCGTCGTCGGTTCCACGCGGACGTTATCTCGCTCAACGACTCTTATCTGTACACAATGGGCGCGTACGCCGCGTACGCCTCGAGGTACGAGAAGCTGCGATCGTGTCGCGTCGAGGTCTCGTCGTTGTTCGCTACTACGGCGCGCGACATAACGTCCCGAGCTCGCGTCGCGAATTCGCGATACGTCGCGTCGTCAACGATGGCGCTCGTGTCCGCGCGCGCCAACTCGTCCAACGGTGTCGTGTCGACGCGTCGGAGGCTCGTCGAGCATCGCGCGTTCGCCGGAACGCGCATTCCCGTGTCGAGCGCGCGTTTGTTCACGGTCGTCAGCACGGAGCGAATCTCCAGTATATCGTGACGAAGGGAAGCGGCCGACGCGATCGGATCGGCGACCGTCGCGTTTTCGTAGTCGTTACGCTCGGCTACCGTCGCGAGCAGCGAACGGTGACGCTGCGCCAACGGAACGAACGTCGCGTCAAATCTGTCGATGTACGCGTCGTTCGCTCGAGCAAAATCCGCCGCGTCAAACGAACGTCGACGCTGTAGATCCGACACACTCAGCGTATCGGTGGCGTTCATGTTATCGTCCAACAGATCGAACAGTTCGCGAGCCGCTTCAAACTCGGTCGCACGCTCGTTTCGCTCGACGTTTCGCCGGGATACGTCGTACATTCGCATGAAGCTTAAGGAGAACGACATGGAGTGTACCGCCGAGCGTGGTTTCTCCGAGAGAAAGCGAAAAACCGGTGCCATCCAGCGCGGATCGATCGCCGTGCGAGATGGCAAAACGCGCGATTGCGGAAATACGCATTCCTCGCTCGGTTCGAAACGTCGTTGTGTCGACGACGCGGCCATGTAGCACGCTGTTGTCTTATTGGCAAAACTCGATTCAGCAGACGATGCGCTGTACGTGTTCTTATCGGTTCGAGAAAAAACAACGTCGCGATTTTCTGTCAGTATCGCGCGTTGTTCTTCATCTGTAAAAATTAAACGCGAACACTGATTCCGACAGCTCTCGGTCTCGCGATACGAATCGGATAAGTACGAACGGTGCCATTGCATCGACGAAAACGAACGTTCGGGACGACGCGGTGTCTGTTTTGCGCGCTGTTGCGAGCGGTGGGAAAAACTCGAAATACTATTCTACTTCTCGTTTTCGCGGATCTAGAGACGCGCGCGAGAAGCGCGATTGGTTGTCGCGGCCTCTGAGGGTGTTCGTAACGAATCTTAATTTCATCCGCTTTCTAAAATTGTTTATATTGAGTCTCTGTAAACTTTATTGTGTTATTATAATCTCGTTTAGAATTTGAACATAGATCTCTTCTTCGATATTATGTATTGATATTACTGTGTAGAAGAACCGCGAAAGTCGAGTTTGATTTATGTTATCGATGCCTAGTCGCGATTTCTTATACACGGGCTTGAGTCCTGTGGCTATCGGGAGAAAGTTGGACAAGACATCGAAGATTAGAGAAGACGAGACACACAGGCTGTTCTTCCTCGACTTTCGGCGAGAATTATTATATCTCTTCGGGTAATTGCGTCGAGACTTCTCACGTTACCTCTGTTGATTGCGCGATTCCGTTGGTTAATTGTCGGGTGCTTTTTAACCCTTTTGTTATTAAACTGCAGTGTGGTTAAAAGGCATTCAATCGCCTCCATTCACTTCTTCCCTTTCTTTTCTCAAACTTGCGCTTTCGGTTTGAACATTTGGTCTTTCGAGCCGGATGCTGCATTGCTTGCGCTCCGGTGTCTTAGTGAAGTGAGTGCGTGGTTGAAGTACCCTGATTTCTTCGGCCGCTAACGATGGAGTCGCTCATCAGTGCTCAGTCGGAGCTTAGCGATCGCATTGCTCGCGCCACCGACAACTTGAGGAAGGCGGGTGCGACTAGGATTACTTCTGCTTTAGTGCAATCGACCATCAGTCTTCTGGATAAGAAGTGGGAGAAATTTGAGGAGCGGCATGATCTGTTGCGCTCGAAATTCCACTCCGAGCTGCAGCATGACTACATGCGTGGCAACATTATCAGTACAGTGGAGGACGTCTACCTGCTGCAGCGTGCCTCGCTACACGAAATCGAGCAATCTTTGTCGCTTAAGAAGACGGCGGCAGAAACTCCTTGCCGTTGTCCGTCGGACGGTTCGTGCTCCAAGTCATTGTTGCATCCCATTGCCGCAATTTTCCGGCAAATCTAAGGATTGGCCTGCGTTTCGGGATCTGTTCCGCTCAATGGTCATTTCCGACGGATCTATTTCAGAAATAGAAAAGCTGCACTACCTGTGCAAATGTGCATCTGTGAAAATGTGCATCAAGGGTGACGCTGAGCAGCTGATACGCGGTCTCCCAGTGATCGGTGATAACTTTGTTCGAGCTTGGACGATCCTCACCAATCACTTCGAAAACAAGCGGGTGCTGGTGACTGCATTCTTTGGCGCTTTCACCTTTCTGCCGAAGATGAAGTCAGAGTCGCTGATCTTCGGAAGGTTGTCCACGGCATGATGAACCTCGTGGGCTCCCTGTAAGGCGTGGGAAGACCGATTTCTGACTGCTCCGATCTCTTCGTATACCTGGTGGTGGAGATGCTGGACGCGAAGACCAGACGTGAGTGGGAGAACCACGTCGGAGGCTCTTCAGATCCTCCGTCCTACGATCAGCTCTTCAATTTCCTGGAGCGTAAGCTGCGTACTCTAGACGCCCTGTGCGCGAATAAGATCGATTCGAGCGCTTCGAAACACGACGGATCGGGCCGGGTAGTGAGAGCGTTGCACGCCAACTCGCAGGACTCTTCTCGCGGACGGTGCCCACTGTGCTCCAAGTCGCACTACGTTTTATTTTGTGACAAACTCAAGTCTCGGTCAGCCGTGGAGCGTCGGAACGCAATCGAGAAGCACAGTCTGTGCTTGAACGGTCTGGGGAGGCATCCCATCAGCGTTTGCAATTCTTCAAAATCATACGTTCGATGCGGCGATAGGCATCACAGCGCAATGCATGACGCGTTCGAGCCCGCTAGCACGGAACGCGGAGAGGCGAGCGCGAACATTTCGGCTCTCGTAGCTCGTCGTCCGTCCGGGGAGCTCAGCGGACGGTTGCTCGCCACCGCGCGCGTCACAGTCGTGGGTCATCTCGGTGATCATTTCGTGGCACGGGCGCTTCTTGACCCCGGCTCTGAGACCTCGCTGATCAGCGAGGCGCTTGCTCAGCGCTTGAGGCTGCCGCGGACGTCCTCGACTCTCTCCATCAGCGGAATCGGAGTGAGTTCCGGCTCAACTCGTGGCCGAGTGTACGTGTCGGTCATCTCGCGATTCGGCTCGCCGGCTCTACGAGTGCAAGCCTACGTCTTACCACGATTGACCTCTTATGGCCAGCGCTATTGCGTCTCGGGCAAATCGTGGCCGCATCTTCGCGACATCGACTTGGCGGATCCGGATTACTTAAATCAAGGCGTAATTGATCTAATCCTCGGTGCGGAAGCTTTCTCGGAGCTGATCCTTGACGGTGTGCGAAAAGGTGGATCCGGGGAGCCGGTCGCACTTCGCACGCGTCTCGGTTGGGTCGTGATAGGGGAGAGCGTCGGCACTACCCATCGCTCCTCCGTCTCCGCGCTAAATGCTCTGTCGATGACGAGCTGTCCGCCCGCGTGAGTCAGTTCTGGGAGTTGGAGGAAGTGCCGCGGAGAACGGCTCCTTTCACCGCTGAGGAAAGGTCTTGTCTGGAGCACTACGAGGTCACTCGCTCTAGGGAGCCTGGAGGACGACACGTCGTCCGGTTGCTTCTCGTCAACGACGTTCCGGATTTGGGCGACACACGTCGTCTGGCGGAGCGTTCTCTTTTCGCCATGGAGAAACGTTTCGCTCGCGAGCCTGCTTTCGGAAGAAAATACGAGGACTTCATGCGCGAGTACGAGTCTCTAGGGCACATGAGCGCTGCTCTCTCTCTCTCTCTCTCTCTCGAGCTTCGAGGGTATAACAAGCAGTGTTTCCTGCCGCATCATGGCGTTTTTCGCGAGTCCAGAGCTATTAGAAAGCTGCGCGTGGTTTTTTATGGGTCAGCGCACAAGTGACGGTCACGTCTTGAACGATTTCCTCAAGGTCGGGTCTAACCTTCTGCCGAAACTCGCTGACGTACTGCTTGTTTGGCGACGGTATCAGTATGTTTTCACCACTGACATCGAGAAAATGTATCGTCAGATTCTGCCGATCGCGACCTCCAGAGGATTTTGTGGCGTGCCGATGGTGAGGTGTAGGAGTATCGGTTGCACACCGTTACTTACGGCCTAGCGTCCGCTCCATTCCTCGCTATCCGCACTTTACAACAGTTGGCCAATGATGAAGAGGAGAGGTTTCCGCTTGGGGCTCGTGTGCTACGAGAGGATGTCTACATGGACGATATCCTCACCGGGGCCCCGTCGATTCCTACTGCGCTCACTCTTCGGCAACAACTCGAGAATGTTTGTCGAGCTGGAGGCTTCCCGTTGAGGAAGTGGATCGCCAATAACGAACGTATTCTGGCAGGTGTCCCGCGCGGTCACCGACCTGACGGAGAGCAGTTCGAGCTGCTTACGCGAGAGTTCAGTCACGCCATCCTCGGACTGATGTGGAGGCCATTCGTCGATGAATTCTCTTTCACCATCCGCTCGTTGGGAAAGAGTGCCACGACGAGGCGAGGCGTGCTTTCTCAAGCAGCTCAACTTTTTGACCCGTTGGGATGGATGGCGCCCGTGACCATACGGGCAAAGTGCCTAATACAGGCAACCTGGTGCCTGCGCATTGGTTGGGACTCTCCTCTGCCGGACGCGGATGTCACCACTTGGAGGGCTTTTTACGAGGAGTTCCCCCTCCTGCAGCAAGTAAGTGTGCCGAGTTGGAACGGGCTCGATCGCCCGGGTAGCAAAGCGGAGCTCCACGGATTCGCCGACGCCTCTGAGCTGCCGTACGCCGCGGTGCTCTATCTGAGGACCGCCTTGGATGACGTCAGGGTTTCGTTGCTGTGCGTCCGGACGAGGGTGGCTCCTCTCCGTCAGGTTTCCTTGCCGAGGCTGGAGTTGTGCGCCGCCACCCTACTTGTAAGACTTGTGTCTCATGCCGTTGCCATCTGTAAGCTGCGTCCTTCCGCTGTGCACCTGTAGTCGGATTCTACAGTGGCCTTGAGTTGGATCCGAGGTCATCCGCGGAACTGAACCACCTTCGTGGCAAACATAGTGGCTGAGATCCAGGCTCTCCTCCCCGATGCTGAGTGGCGCCATGTGTGGGAAAGTGTAATCCTGCTGATTACGCCTCCAGAGGCATGGCTCCTAGCGATTTCATTTCGCACTCGCTTTGGTTCAACGGTCCGGACTTCCTGCTCACTCGCATATGGCCCTCACCTCCTATCACGGGTGTGACGCTGGAGGTGCCGGAGCGTCGTTTGGTCGTCCACGTCGCCCGATTGGAGAAGGAGGAGAGCCCTGTTCTCGTAAGGTTTTCGACTATGACAAGGCTACGAGTGACAGCCTGCATGAAACGATGGATCGGGCGCTTCCGGGGCATGATTCCACCGTCGCCCGGCCTGACTCCTGAGGAGCTGCGACATGCGGAGTTGCTGTGGATCCGTCACGTGCAGGCCGTGTCTTTTGAGAGCGAGCTCAGGGCTATCGACTGCGAACGGCAGCTTCCGAGGTGTAGCTCTCTTCTACACCTCACTCCCTTCAAGGACGTGAAGGGAATCCTGCGGGTTGGTGGTCGCCTAAAACATGCGCTCCTCTGCTACGACGAGCGCTATCCGATTATTCTGCCACCGCGCTCGCACTTCACCCGGCTAGTGATCGACGCTGCTCACAGACGCATGATGCATGGCGGAGTCCAACTCGTGCTGGCCACCATCCGAGGACGGTACTGGGTGTCTCAGGGTCGTCGGCTGGTCAAGGAGCACGTCTATCGCTGCCCTCTTGTGCGATGGCGGGCGGCTGAGCCTCAGCCTCAGATGAGCTGCCTACCGGAGTCCAGGGTCTTGCCTTGTCGGCCCTTCCTGAGGACGGGACTACGCCTTCCTGAGGACGGGACTACGCCGGGCCTGTTCTTCTCCGCTCGACTCGAGGGCGAGGGCACTCTGCGTCTAAGGCGTTCATCGCCATCTTCGTGTGCTTCGTAACCCGGGCCATACATACGGGCTCGAGGTCGTTTCAGACTATTCATCGAGCGCGTACCTGGCGGCCTTCTGGTGCTTCACTTCGCGGCGTGGCGCATGTCTTGAGCTGTACAGCGACTGCGGGACGACCTTCATAGGCGCTGACAAGCAGCTGCGCACTCTGTTCCGGGCGTTGGCGCCTGAAGCCAAGATTGCAGCGGACCAACTAGTCAGCGAGGGCACATGGTGGCACTTCAATCCTCCTGGCGCTCCTCACTTTGGCGGACTCTGGGAGGCAGCCGTCAAGTCCATCAAGCATCACTTACGGCGGATGATCGGCGTGGCCACTTTCACCTATGAGGAGATGGCCACTCTTCTATCGCAAGTCGAAGCTTGCCTGAACTCACGTCCACTGCGATCCTTGACGGACGACCCGGATGACCTGACGGCCTTGACTCCAGGACACCTTCTGATCGGCTAGCCACTGCTCGTTATAGCGGAACCATCTCTAGAGGAGGTTCCTCCTGGACGACTCGACCGTTGGCAGCTGGTGCAGCAGATGCGCGATCATTTGTGGCGGAGGTGGTCGCAGGAGTATCTGGCCGAATTTACTCGGCGGAACAAGTGGCTTACGAGAGCTCCTCTGATCCAGGTTGGCCAGCTCTGCCTAATTCGATCGGAGGCGACCTCCCCCCCGGCCGGTGGCCTTTGGCGCGCACTGCTGCATTGCACTCTGGCAATGACGGCCAGATGCGAGTGATCACCGTCCGCACTGCATCTGCTACTCTGACGCGGCCGGTGATCAAAATCGTGCTGCTACCGTCCCTCGCTTTAACGATAGAGTCGATTTGAGTGCAGCTTACTCGAGAACCTTTAGTGCGCGATGGCACTGTTTCTTTTTTTTCTTTTCAGTTTAATTTTTTCTTTTCAGTTTATCTTTTAGTTTGTTGGCGTGCGTCGATTAAGTTGTGCTGCTTTAAATTTATTCACTCAAATTGCCTTTATTGGCGGAACTTTTAAGTTTACTCTCCGGAGCCGAAAATTTTTCATCGGATCTTCTTCCGATGAGGCGGGCGGGATGTTCGTAACGAATCCCAATTTCATCCGCTTTCTAAAATTGTTTATATTGAGTCTCTGTAAACTTTATTGTGTTATTATAATCTCATTTAGAATTTGAACATAGATCTCTTCTTCGATATTATGTATTGATATTACTGTGTAGAAGAACCGCGAAAGTCGAGTTTGATTTATGTTATCGATGCCTAGTCGCAATTTCTTATACATGGACTGAGTCCTGTGGCTATCGGGAGAAAGTTGGACAAGACATCGAAGATTAGGGAAGACGAGACACACAGGCTGTTCTTCCTCGACTTTCGGCGAGAATTATTATATCTCTTCGGGTAATTGCGTCGAGACTTCTCACGTTACCTCTGTTGATTGCGCGATTCCGTTGGTTAATTGTCGGGTGCTTTTTAACCCTTTTGTTATTAAACTGCAGTGTGGTTAAAATCGAAGGCATTCAATCGCCTCCCTTCACTTCTTCCCTTTCTTTTCTCAAACTTGCGTTTTCGGTTTGAACAGAGGGAAACCGAGAATAACATCATCGAGACAGTGAACGCGAGCGTTCGATATGATACACCGACTCTGCGCGAATCGAACTCTGAAGAGAACCTTTTTTCCGGTTATCTCGACTCTAGTTCCCCTGAAACGCATTCGTATCGAGGACGTTCGACGCGTGTAACGTAAAGTTACACACGGCGACGAAACCAACAGCCCTTCAGCGTCGGGCGAGTGTCGGTTGCGCATTGAGGAGCGCTGCGATGGACGCTGGTACTTTTACACTTCCCCCCCACCCCCGCTACAGGTACAAAGTGAGGGAAAGTGTGAAAGTATCAGCGCTCCTCAGTGCGCAACCGACGCTCGCCCGACGCCGAAAGGCTGTCGGTTCCGTCGCCGTGTGTAACTTTACGTTACATGCGGCGGCGACACGCGTCGAACGTTCTTGCGCGGATACAAATGCGTTTCAGGGGAACGAGGGTCGCTGGATGACATTAGACACCGAATGTTAGTCGCGCGTGATCGCTGAATTTGCAAGCATTGTTGGATGAGGATGACCGTGCGTGGTACGAGTAGCGTGGTACGAGCAATGTGTTCGTAGAGTTTTGTCAGAATTTGTTAAACACTACGCGTACGATACGAAGCGCGCGTAAGCGTTTTTTTGATAATAAAAAAGATGCTATGGCAAGAAACGAAGCGAAAGACGATCATTGATAACGTTTACAGGTTGCGTGAAAAGTTCGCAGGGCGCAATGCACCAACGATGTAAATTGTCGATCAATAGTAAATACAAATATGCGCATGGATGAAATGTGAGTTTCTTTAATCCCTGTTTTCCATCGCGCAACAAACGCGCTAGATATTTCACGCGGAGCGTGAACGCTAATGAAATCTAGTGGTACACAACAAACGCAATCGCGTCGTTTGCGTTCGATCGCACCACGCGTAGCATTCATTTCATGTCTTATCGATAACATAATCGTTCGTATTTTTCAGCCACATAAATAATGATGTTATCTCACGAAAAAAACAACTCTTAGATCAATCGACTGTCTAGTGTCGATTGGTGGGAGAGCGTGGCTCGTTCGCTGTTTCGTTTATTGCCGTTGTTCCGCGACTGGTTCACGATCAGAAACGTGAGACCCAGAAACGATCGTTCGTAACGAGTTTGCGTTTGTTCGATACCGCGTTTCTATTCCTCGGAGAAGCACGCTCCGTTCGTGGCGTCGAGTCATTTAGTTTGAACGATGTTCGTGCGTTGCTGTCGAACGCTCGGCGATGGCTCGTTTTGTAACGATCATGTTGCCGGAGGTCGATGAAACGAGAGGGACGATTACAAGACAGAGATTTCGCGTGAGAAAATGTCCGTATTGCGCGCGTTGCTACGTGCTCGATTTGCTTCGACGTACGGTGAGGACCTTCGTTAACGCGCGTTGTCATTTACGGTCTTTTCCGCGCGCCGTGTCGTTGGCGTATCACGTTATGAACGCGATCGTCGCGATGAACGACGGCGAGGAACACTGCTGCGACGATCACAGCAATCAACGCTATCCCTGGCTGTCTCGCCAATTCATCCAAATAAGGACGAATGTCAACAACAAGGACGATCTCGGTGACTATGCCGAGAACGAATAGTCGTTATCATCGAGCGAGAGCGACGACGACGATTTTGTTCGCGAGGAGGATCGCGTGACGTACGATCCGTCGAGATTGTTGTACTCCGTTTTCCACTATCAATCGTCCGATCGCGAGACGTGTGTCGATTATAGATTCGACTGGATGACGATCGCTTCTGAAGTTTCGAATTGTTACGGTCGCGCCTCCGGGTTCGCCCGCTTTATCGATCCGACCCTGTGTTGCGATCGTTGGCAGCGAATCGTGCGCAGAGATTTTATTAGGAGAAGGTGAGTAATTAGGTCGTCGATTTTCTTGGTGTGTATATGTATGACTGTTTTTATTGTTTGCTGTTTTACGTCAAGTTCGCGTGTGGTCGCTTGACGCAGCACAATTCCGCTCGACGCGCGCCGTGGAGATCTCGTTTCGGATGTTTACAAAGGTGTGCTTGAACACGTGATGCGTTGCTGACGGGACGACTATCGTTGTCGAGCGCGTGGTCGCCGGTGAGCTAATTAGGCAATATGTATTGCAGGAGACATTCTAACGATAAGACACCTATCTCTGGTCGCCAAGGTATTGCATGCGGTCGCGGTGTAGCGAATACACACGCGGTGGTCGCGATAATTTCGTGTCTCATTTATGAAAGATTTAAGTGGCTCCGGCGGTCGCCACAGACGGTAGGAAGAAAACAATACAAAAAACGTGACGCGGCGCGTTATCTTCGACGGTGTACGTACAAGAAGGCGGCCGCGGGTCGAGGTGCAGTTTTTCGCGAACAAGCACAAAAGAAACGGACCAAGAGAACAATCCGTTCGGTCTGCCAGCTTTCTTGGCTATTCGACTAATTAACGTATGCTTGGGAGATCCAAACGGAACGGGGCTACCGGGCCCGATGAATGAGGTCGATCCCAGATCCTATAAAGAGCCCAACAGAAATAGGCTGTGTAGCCGGTCCCGGAGAACACACCGGGGTAACCGGCCACCGCGCCGGTTGATCTTGACTGCAAAGAAGAAAGTCAATTAGTGGCAACCGTGCTGACGAATATGCCGGAGTAGCGGGAACCTCGCCGTTCGATCTTTATATCGTAAAGACGGCACAAAAGAGAATCGTTCCGGAAAACACACTGGAGCAACGGCACACTCGCCGTTCGATCCCTATATCGTAAAGACGGCACAAACGAGAATCGTTCCGGAAAACACACCGGAGCAACGGCAAACTCGCCGTTCGATCCCTATATCGCAAAGACGGCACAAACGAGAATCGTTCCGGAAAACACACCGGAGCAACGGCAAACTCGCCGTTCGATCTCTATATCGCAAAGATGGCACAAACGAGAATCGTTCCGGAAAACACACCGGAGCAACGGCAAACTCGCCGTTCGATCATTATATCGCAAAGAGCAGGAAGCAATCGCGGATGCCGACGGCGGCGGCCTAGTAGATTACTTACTCGAAACTTTCGATCTTCTGGAGGCGCTCTGCAAATTTTCTGATGGCTATTCCTAGACGATGGATCTCCTCAGACTCTTCGAAGACTCTCTAAAGACTGTTCGAAGACTATCCCAAGACTCTCCTCTTGTCAAGAACTGTTGAGATTATATACTCGTCTTGTCTCGTCTTCGGTTCCTTTCGTTGATTAATCCGATTTTGATCGGGATTAATCGTGATTATACGGCGTTCGCCGAGGATCGTCTCGGCGGCACCGCGAGTTCGGCTCCGCGGCCGATCGCTCCCGAGCGTTGCTGCCGGGTCTTCGGCTAGACTCGGGTGAGCGCTTTCTAAGGCGCGGTGACAGCGCGGGTCGGGGAGTGCGCGCTCAGCTGACTGCCGCGTGATGTTCAGCGGCAGTCAGCGTAACGATACGATTACTTGAATGTATCGTTACAGATTCGACACTGGCGCGACGTCGTGGTACGTATTGGTTATTGCGCATTTTACCGATTTTGTGCGACTACTGCGAGATCACTGTAATATCGCGGCGCGATATTCATCCGAGCGCGATTCGTTACAAAACTGCACGGGGTTGGAAACGACGCGACATGTGCGTGCGTTGCGCTCTGTCGCACGTAACGAAACAAATTATTCCCGAATTGGTCGTTGCCGTTCGACGATGGCGTGTTCGGCGAAACGACTCGGAGCGCATAGGCGCAACGAGTGCGTTGTTCGCACCTACGCCATTGATCGTCAAACGACGCATACTAGATGCCATACGAAGCGGTCGATGCGTAACCCGATGGGACAGATATCCGTATCCTTGGTGGAACCTGGTTGTTGTTAAATTTGTACCTCAGTGCGCGCGACGAAGAT